AAAAAAAAAAAAACAAGCACCGAACTCTCAAAGCCATAAATAAATAAAAGAAACAAATGCAAGACATGAAATTGAAAATGAGAACAACAATTACAGATATAAAATCACACACCGAAAAAAAAAATAGGCACGCAACGTCGTGCACATGACGTGCATCACTCGTAACAGAAAATGTACATGGAAAATGCAATGTACATGGAAAATGTAATTTACATGGAAAATGAAATGTACATGAAAAGTCGTGAACGTTGCGAAGCACCTGACAGGCTGACACTAAAATCACACATGAAAAATGTAACATGATACAATGTATCCTACTGCTAAGGCACTGGCACCACACCGTGAAAAAAATACAAGAAACAGTAGTCTACAAGTCGTGTCGTAGCTGCCAAGATACTGTACTCAGTCTGCTGCAACCGACGACACTCTACGAACACCCTGCTGGCACCAAAATCATACTCTACGAACACCCTACTGCTACCAAAATCATACACACCAACAAGTAAAGCACGCACACTACCACTGAGTGTCTGACAATACTGACACAAGACGAGACGACTCAGACGACCGAAAAAACTAAGACTGCAGAACATGACGAAGTACATTGCGAGTAGGGGAGAAGCGGAGTGTTGGCCTCATCGGTCAACGACCCTTCTTCCCCATTCCCGCTCTGTTTCCTCGTACCCCCTCGAGTGTCGGATGTCGACCTCTTCCTCCCTCGTGAGGATGAAGAAGTCCGCGCGGCGGAGCGTGTAGATGCACTCGTTGATGGGGGTCCTGGGGGAGGTGGGGGCTCATCGTAGTCGTCGCCGTCATCACCATCGGAACCGCTCCTACTCTCCTCCTCTCCCTCCTCCTCGCCCTCATAGTCCTCGTCCGCCTCCCGCACAACCACATCCATATCAAGATCATCCTCCTCGATGGTGACCGGGCCTCCTCCCTTCCGCAACATAACAACCCTCGCACTAGCCTCTGCAACGGTCTGCTCACGGTGGGATCCACGAGGCATCCCCAACCCCTCCGTTCCCGAACTCTCCAAGTGCAGTGCCTCCCTCTGCAGGCACGGGGCGTGGACGCGGAGGCACTCCACGCTTGCGTGGAGTCTGCTCCTGCACGGCACGCGTCGCTGCTCTCAGAGCGTAATCCAAGCTCTCGGTAAACACTCCTCTGCCGCGACCTCGCTGAGGCTCACAACCTGATGCTGGTACCTCCCTCGCCGTGGTCATCCTGGCGTCGCGGGGTCCCAAGCCCGATTGAAGGCGTGCAGTGTGCTCCGTGACACGGCGGGTGGAATCCAAATTTATGTTTGTCCTCCCGAATAACGTCGTGTTACACACGTCCTGCTGAACTGTTGTCGTGTCACGAATCCTACATCTCCCAGGCGTGTGTGGAAATCGAGAGCCTCACCCTATAGGCGACGATGATGGATCACCTACAGGTGCTCTAGGAGGAGGGGGTGGCATGTCTCCTGTGTGTGGCGTTGTCTCCATCACGCCACCAGAAACCCTAGGAACATGTCCCACGACACGTCCCCGGTCGAAGCAGACCCACACCACACGGGCGACGCAGGACCCCATGGAACCGAAGGGATCGCCTGCCATGTTGGATGCTCGAGCCTCTAGTCGAAGATCCGCCGGTCCAATCGAGTAACATCGTGTACAGTCTCTCTCGCCAACTCCTCTGCATCCAAACGACGAAGGACCTCCTGTGGAGCAAAGTGGCTGAGAAGACGTGGGGGCACAACCACCGGCTCGGACCCCAAATCCGTGATAACGGGTGGTGGCACACCATGCACTTCCATCTGAACCGTCTGCTACTGTCAGCTCTGAGTCAAATGCAGGCCCGAGAACGAAACGACTGGACCCGTCGCTGTCTCCTGGACCACGCATCGTGCGTCTATAGCCCCCTCGACTCGCCGTTGTCCTGCCTGCACAGTCTCATCCACCGCCTGTGGCCGTCCCTCCACAGCAATGTCCGCTGCCTCTGCTCCACCCAGCATAGCCTCATCAACCGTCTCTGTTGCCACTCCCTCCGCAACGTCCTCCCCCGCCACCACCCCACCCTGCACACAATCCCCCCCGGTCTCTCGAAGTCTGGCCTCCTCTAAGGCCCGTGCGAACGTCTGAGCACGCGGGTTACTCGATGCCAAAAGTCGAGGCCTCTCTCGCTCCATGATGTCGCGTGCTGCATCTGCAGACTCAGTCGTCGTCCTCTCTCTCGCGGTCTGCGTCAAAGTCTGTCCTGCCGCCTCGTCCCTCGATGGACCCCGGTCAGTCGATGTCGACCCGCCGCAACTAGGTGGAAGGCCCATTGACAAATGAAAGTCTTAGTGGGTCCCCATCTCTGAATCCGAAATCCCAAACCCCCTCGCCACACCCGGGGTCATACCCGCTATGACCGGATAGAGCCCCTCCGTGAGGAACTGCTGCATGAGGCGCTCGTCATCGCCCCCACGCTACACCTCCGCCTGTGCGGCTATCTCCTCCTCCACGGGTCCTGGCACCCCCCCTCCACTGCAGCTGCCGACGGTGCCTCCTCCTCCTCCACTGCTGCTCCTCCAGTTGCTCCTCCTCCTGCTGCCACCTGCCCCTCCAATGCTGTTGCTCCTCCTGTCGCTGGTGCCTCCCCCGCCAGCACTGATGCTGCCATCTCCTCCAGCACTGCTGCTGCTATCTCGTCCACCGAAGCTGCGATCGCCGCGTCCGCCACCGCCGGCATAGCCTTATCGACTACCTCTGCTGCTGCCGACAGTGCCCCCTCCTCCCGCAATATCCCCGAGGAAGGTGATCGTAACCTCAGCTGGCGGACTGCCCCGCCTCTGTGGAGAAGTCCGCGCTAAGGCAAAGAGGACCCCAACTCCTCCCTGTCCGCCGTTGTCGTGGCCGACTGAAGTGGCGAGACGGGCGATGGTGGTGCAGGACTCGGAGCAGGAGGTGGTGGCATGGACGACTCCCGCCTCGTCGGAATGGGGGTCGTCGCCTGCGCCTCTAGCCCTCCCATAGAAGCGACCTCCCCGAATGGGCCCCATAACTCCTCTCCCCCCAGCATCTCCCTCTCCGCCTGGTCCGCCGCCCGTCGTGCAGTGTGTGCCCTCGTCTCCTCGGAGTCGGGATCCTCGTGCGTCTCGTCGATCTCGCGGGGAATGTGGAGCGCAGGGTGATCTGCCGCCTCGGGTACCGGCTCCTCGTTCGAGTCGTCCTCCCTGGGGTAGGGACGAAAAATGCAAGCACGTCTACCGAAAACGGCATCAGCAGAGGATGGTGCGGAGGCCCCGATGGGATCCCGGGTAATAAGTGCAACCTGACGGTCAATCTCCTCGTCCGTCATCCCCCTACGAGTCCCCGAACGCACATGCTCCACCTCGAGTTCTGCCTAGCAATCCAGCATGCCCTTGTCCCGCTGCCATGGCAGCACATAACCGCATCCAGCTCGTCGATACTCCGTCAACCGCACATTTGCGGTGATCTCAACGAGTTGAACGACCTTCTCGAAGGCCAACTGGTTGCTCTTGTTCGTGTGAATGCACTCGTGGACTGCCCAGTTCCTCTCCGTTGGAGAGGCGCAAGACCATATGTGCATCACCCGAAGAGCGCACCGCTGCAACTCTAGCGCGCCCGACCCGAACTTAGACCACCAAGACGCGCACTCAATCGTCTCGCCGTCGCCGCTGCACGCGCGCCCACGAGCACGCCCCTCCACCCCGCCCCAATCCCCGAACCTGCCGTGCTGAATGTGGAAGTCCTCAAACTGCCGACATGCAAGGATGTAGTCCGCACCCTCCAACTTGAAACCCGCCTGCGTCAGAATGTACCTCTTGGCTTGCCCCACAAGCCAAGCATGGTACTGATCAACCTGACCCGAAAAGTAGCGAACGTGTTGCGTGCGGGGTTTCAGTAAGAACCCTGCGCAGTGAGCCGGCTCAAGTAAATGCTGTGTGCGAGCCTGCACACGCCTAATGATCCGGTCGGCGAGCGACTTCCCCAAAGGGGCGCATGGGTTCGTGACACAGCGGACAAGATCCTCCGTCCACTCGATCATGAGGGACATGTACTGTCCTCCACGATCCATCCGCCTAAGCAACTCCATGACGGGCTGCATGATATGGACGATGGTGGCCACCCTCTGCCACCATGGGTCCCATCTGATCTGTCGGCGCACCCAACGCGCCATGACGCACACATCGGCGGACCACGGGATGGAAGCACAAACCCGCGCATCATCCCCTCGCATCATGTCCTACAGAGAGTCCTGCAGGGCCAACAACCTCTCTAGCATGGAGTAAACAGATGCGAACCGCGTCTCGCAAGAAAGAATAAGCCCTTTGTTGGGGCTGCGCGTCCTAAAAAAATGAAGGGCAGCCTGGTGGGTTTTGAAAAACACCACCAGCACACGAGCGCGTGTGATCGTGTCCACAAACGCGTCGCAACTCGTCCCCATGTCTGACAACAATTTGTTGCAGACATGGACGGAGCACGGGAGCCAAGTGATCCTCCTCAGTGCAAGAGGCATGGACGACGAGGCCAATGCCCTTGCAGCCCCCACGTAAGCAGAAGCGGATTCAGTGCATATCGCCTTGACCCGCTGCAGCCCGCCAAAGCTGAACTCGTGGAAGATGGTAACCCATCTCCGAAGGACGTGCACTGCATCGTCCGGCTCGCCCTCTCGATTGATCGTCGTGTACACGACGACCCCTCGCGAGCCAGCGGCAAGGAAATTCACGATCGGTCTCCCGTCTCGTGATTTCCTCCCATCGGAGAGGAGGGTGGCACCAGTCACCCAGAATGGCTGCCTCACCTCCTCCAACTCCTCCGCAAGCTCCGCACGGTGGGTCTCCACCTCCCACATACTCGCAATCTTGCTGTGGTTGGGGAGCACAGCGCGCGGGGAATTGGCAGGCTGCCCAAGAAGCACCTGTTGATATGCCTTCCAAGCCTGGTTGTGAAAGGCATGGAAGGAGACCCCGCTGGAATAGAGCCATCGAAGGAATGCCTTCTTGTGGCGAGCAACCCACTCGCCACCGTAGACATCAGTCACATTTTGGTTGGGAAGCCTCTTTCCTGTTGGGGTGGCAGTCGGATCACTTCCTCCTTCCTTCCTCTTGGAACACCCCTCCGTTGCAGCTCCCTTGCCTGCTCGCCTCCGCCAGCCCTCCATCCTCTCCCCAGTGCCTGGATGAAACTCTGGCTCGTCCTCGGGTTTCGGGACTCCCTCCTCGCCCGGGCCACGTGCCTCGCGATCGATGTGGATCACGCCCTCCTCCGTCTCACTGCCTCCAGCTTCCAAAGGGGGGTCTGGTGCACCATGCCCACCATTTCCCCCGACCCCTCCCTCCACCGGGCGCCGCCCCGCCTCTCCTCCCCTTGCACCACCCGTGTCGGGCACATCCAGTCCGCGCTCCGCTGCATACCTGGCAACCCTCTCCATCTGATCGGCCTCGAACTTCTGTTGAGTCCGTCGCCTAATCTCGTACAACGCCTCATCGCTGACGTCCTTGCAGTAGTTTGTCTGCGTGAACTGCCTCGTGGCCTGAAATTAGGTCCCTTGGAAAACTTTGTTGCAAAACGTACAACGAAGCATCATGACCCCCTTGTTGTCGACCTTCTGGCCGACAACCAGGTACCGATACACAGGGGAGCGGGCCCTGAATGTGTCATGCACATGGTCCGCGACAGGATCATGCTGGCGGCGCTGCGCCCTCCCCATGTCGACCACCCTAACGAGACAACCCTCGCTGACTCCCACCGACCGCACCGCTGCAACCCAACCCCCCTTAACCGCTGCCCGCCGCAGGGTCCCCCTTCCCCC